CTTATTTTCCTTAAATTCTTTCAAATTAAAACCCAAATTTTAGATTTTCCACCACTCATCATCTTCAACCTCTTAATTTCTCAAATGCACTTAATTCCACTTCAAATTAACTTTTTAATTCACTTACCTAAGACAATTAGACACTATTCAAATAACTATAATCACTTAGAATCATCTTTCCCCAAATAGTTCTCAAGAACTCTAATGCTAATATAATAAATTCCCCATTCAAATAATACCCAATGCAATTCAACTTCAAATTCATCATTAATTACATATAAACATTCTAATTTAAGTATCAATTGATTAAAAATCAATGACGGACACAATCTCTTTATTCCATAATTACTCCTCATGAGATAAGTTAGGATTTTAACTTCATTAGTTATGGTTCTAAGATATGAGATGGGTCGAGTACATATTTTTTTAGCATGGAAATATGGAACACTAGATGTACATTGAAGAATTATGGCATCGACATTAACTCATAAGCCACTACTCTAATTCGACCAATAATTTAAAATGATTTGATATACCTTGAGCTCAACTTTCCCTTCTTGCCAAATTGCATTACTCCTTGCATCGAAGAAACTTTAAGAAATACAAAATCACCAATTAAAAATTTTTATATGTCATTTTTTAGGATCTACATAAATCTTATATCTACTATGTGTAGTCCTAAGGCGCTCTTGAATCAATTTTACCTTCTTAATACCGAGTTGAATCAATTTTAGCCATAAAGGTTCCTTTTCTCTAGCTTCGCCCAACATATTGGTGATCTACACGTCCAACCACATAATGCTTCATACGATTGCCATACATATGCTAGAGTGATAGTAATTGTTATATGAAAACATAATTAATGGCAAGTGATGATCCCAACTACCTCTTAGATCCATCACACATACCCTAAGCATATCCTCTAAGGTTTGAATTGTTGTTTCTAATGACCATTTGTTTGAGGATGAAATGTCGTATTGAATTCTAGTTTTGTACCAAGTGCCTCTTGTAACTTCCTTCATAATCTAGATGTAAATTGAGTACCTTGATCTAAAATGATGGAGATCAGAATATTATACAAGGACACTATCTAATCAATATATAACTATGCATATTGCACATTCTTGTAGGTAATCTTTGCAGGTAGGAAATGAGTGGACTTAGTTAATCTATCCACAATCACCCAAATTGAATCATACCCTCCTTGAGTTTGAGGTAAACCCATTATAATTATCACACTTTTCCACTTCCACTCGGTAGTAGCAACTCTTGCAACATTCCTACTAGCCTTTATTGCTCATACTTTACTTGCCGACATGTCGGCACCATAAACAAACTCCATGATATCTTTATTCATTCTAGTCCATCAATAATTCTTGCAAAGATCCTTATACATCTTAACTTAACGAGGGATGCATAGAATAGGTCATACTATGAGCCTCTATCAAAATCTACTCTCTTAGCTTTGGATTTTTTAGCAACATAGCTTTCGATGAAACTATAGAGTGCTTATATTATCAATTCTACAACCTAAGCTCTTTTCTTCTTATATCTTAGTGTAAATCTCATGTATCTCCTTATCATTCACTTGAGCCTCTCGAATTGGCCTAAGCCCTCGTTTAATGAAAGTATGATCTAGCAACATTTCTTGTCACATTAGCAACACTCACATCATCATTGCCATCGCCAAACCACCTATGGTCACATCAAACGGCACCAACTCCCCCACTTGGCTTTAGAGATTATCTATAACAAGAAAATGAATTGTTGTATCTTTTTCATCATAAAACTTGCCTCTCAACTCTACGTTACTAATACTCTAAAATAGAAGACATTTTTATTATATTTTTTACTATTCAATGAATAATTTTTTTTTTTTGAACCTAGCGACCAAGGCTTGCCTAGCCTTATTGTTTTTTTTCCCATTCATATACGCCCGACTTTTTTTCTTTTTCCTTCTATATATATTGATTTTTATCCTTATAATAAATATTTATTCTTGACTTTAATAAAAATTTATGGTTTTTTTTTGTTATATTTTGTAATATATTTTTATTTTAGTCATTAAATTTTTATTATGTTTGATTTTTATCTTTACTCGTACTAAAACTAAATAAAGTTTACTATCTTAAACTTTTTTTGTACTACTCACTCCTTTTTTCCTCTTTTTTTTTTTTTTTTACCCTCACAATATACTATTCACTCTTAGTTGTCTTTTTTTTTAATTTTCACTTTTCCTTTTTTTTTCCTTTTTTTATATATATAATTTTCAAATTATTTCGTTTTGATTTTTTAATTGTAATTTTCACTCTTCCCTTTTTTAACTTAGTTTTTTTTTTTTTTTTTTTTTGGTAACTTTCAAATTATTTTATTTTAATCCCTGAAATTTTAAAATAAAAATTTTAATCTCTAACTAATGCACAACATACCTTTTCTTTTTCTTTTTTTTTTAATTGGGTGTTAAAATTTTTAAAAATCAATTGTTACTTTTTTTATCGATACGAACTAACGATTATATAATATATATAAATCAAATATATGTACTTTAAAAAAATAATCTTCTCATTTACATTAAATAAAAAATATTTTATTTTTTAATTGGTTAATTTTTATGCGGGTCATACATTAATTGTTACTTTATTTTCTGGATATATTCTTATAAAATAATATATTTTTAAAGCGAGTTGTTCTTATATTCTTAATTAATATTTCAGGTTTAAATTATATATTACAAATTTTTATTTAGGAATCCCTAAATGATGAAAAATAAATTATGTTTTTTAAGCAAAAAATTTATGAAAAACACAAAAAGTAGTAATAATTAATGAAAAAATTATAAAATTTTGCAATGATTTTATTCTATCTATTATAGTGTTGTGTTGATAATTTTAAAAATCAATCTTCTCATCAGCATTAAATAAGAATTTTTTTTCTATTTGTCAGTTTTTATAAAATTCTATCTATTAATTATAACTTTATTTTTTTGCAATACAATATTATGAAAAAAATATATTATTAATTTTTTTAAATTCGATGAAAAGATTTTTTTTTCGTCCATAAAGAAGAATGAATTATCTTTTTTTAAGCAAAAGAATTTATAAAAAAAAATATTAGAAAAAATTAATTAAATAATAAATTATAATTAAATTTTTTTAAAATTTTAAAATGAGTTTGTTCTACTAGAACCACAGCGTAGCGTGGGTAACCGACTAGTAACTCTCTATATTCTAAAAGTAGATATTGTTAATCTTTTGTATCACACATAGAAATATCTTCAAAAAAAAAAAAAAAAAAAAAAAAAAACCGAATCAAACCATCTTTTTTCTCTTCAATTACTAATTAGAACATTAGACAATCTCTCAATCTACTAAAATTTTTTGTTTTATAGGAACATAGCGTAGAAGAGAACGAAACATACCATCAATCTATATCATCCACCTTTATCCATAAAAAACCACATTTTTTTGTTTATTAGATAAGTTATGTTGAAATTATCATAATCAGTTTGCAATATATATTCATCATAAGATTTATTGAACTTATATTGACACATTAAAATTTTTTATTAGACTAGTTTTTTTTTTTTTTTTTTTTTTTTGCCTACAACTCCCAACTCATTCTTCGAGCTCCGAACAATAGGGGCAAAAAGCAGCTCCTTGATCAATTATTCCATGTCTAAAAAGATTGTGCTTCTTATTCCCAAAAGAGCCAGTCATGTAAATGCTTCCATCTTAAGAGGAACTAAATCGTCTCTACGCTCCCAAAACACAATTTATCCAAAGACTCAGAATGTGCATAACATTTGCAGTAGTTGTCCATGCATGATTGAATTTGGCTTGAGTTGCTCACATGAAAAATATTCTTGCAGCATCTAAGACATACTTAACCAGCATCATTAAATTTAACCTTTATCAAGGTTTTTGGCCTAATTGTAATATATTAGATCCCCTTTCCATTTTTGGATCTCCAACCAAAGACCACCGCTTTGTTAAAAAAATATTTGAGAATAATATAAATTATATCGTAGAGCCTCATAAATAGATTAAACTTTTAGATTGAAATGCTTCTTTCATCCGGTATCGAGTTTTCTCACCCAAATGGTCAAGAATTTGAATCTTACCACCACTTATTTTTTTCCTAATTAATTGAAAAGAATTAACCACTATGTAGTATGGATCTCTTTTAATTATTAAAAAAGAATCAAGCAAAAAGGTAATATAAATTGTGCAAGTTCCAAACCCGAAGAATTTATATTTGAAGAGTTATATTAGAAAATAATATAAATTATATTCTAAAATCTCATCCAATAGTTGAAGGAAGTGATCTTTAAATTAAATCAAATGTTTAATTAAAGAGATGCTTGAATTTACTTGAGAATATGTGTGCAAAACAGCGATCTCTAAATGAAACCAAATATTTAATTAAAGATATTGAATTTATTCAGATGACCTTTACCAAGGTGAGGCATTATATAATCTTGATTGCATTCATTTTTTTTTTCGGTCATAATTTTTTACCACTACAAATTAAGTATTTACTTGAATTTGAAATCTTTCACTTTTGGAAAGCTGGACATGAATTCAAATTGAGCTACAAACTCATTTACCTCAGAATTATGTATGTATGTGTCTAGGCCATGAATTCAATTGAAAAAACACCGGATTTGGCAGAAAAGGCAAATTGGTTGAGAGTACAAAAGAGAGGCCAAAGATACAAGTTATGTTAAATGAATTGCACAACTATTAGACATAAATAATGACAGATTAATTTATATGAATATTTTCTTCAACAAACATAAAGCAGTTACATGAATCTAGAGGTGGAGTCTTCGACTGATTACCATCAGAAATGACGGACACTAATCTAGGGAAGAGATAAGCCGCATGAAGCCTTAATTACACGACGACAAACCAAACAGAAACTAATTATATAATTAAGACACGACCACATGCATATATATAGAGTTACATGCAACTTTTAATAACACTCCAATGCAGCTGCTAAAGTTTGCTGGTGACATCCATGGCTTTCATGATTTCCATCGTCTGTCCCTTTGCATTTTGATCTTCAATAACTCCATTTCCACTATCATTTAGCTTTGGAATCAGTACAGTTATCTCAGAGCAGATTGTTGCGCCCAACTTTCCAAGGTCCACAACATGTTCAGATATTTCTAATTGAAGTTTAGGATCCACCACCACTACTTTCTTAGGGTTCCTATAGATCATATAAAGCACCATCTGGAGGATACCAAAGAGAAGCCCCAGTATGTTTGGAACCTGTTGATAAAAACAGAATAAATGTTAGTAATAAAAAAATCCATTAAATGAAAAGTCTGGTTTTTCACGTATGCATAAATATTTGATCACTTACAGCAACAAACTGATCTTTCTTTAGATAGCCGTAGAAGAACCACATGACTGCACTCAGAGTTAGGAAGAATGACAAAGAGAAAGGCATGAACTCCACGCTCTTTGTTTTTATAACTTTCCCCTGCAAAATTCAATCAAGTATTACGGAAAAGATGTTGAAGATTAGCCAGAAATTTATGTTTTCCATACTCAAGTTACTCACCACAATGAAAAGAGGTGCAACAAAAACACACAAAGAAAATATCATGCAAATCCATCCAAGAAAATGGACACGTTTTTGGCCTTGTGTTAGGAAGAGCGTTACTACACAGATGAGACCGAACCCGAAAACATTGAACAAGAGGAGAAGTTTGAAAGTCAGAATCTGCACCAAATTGAGCTAAATTAGTAAGTCTGTATTGTACAAAGAGGGCTTTAAAAGTGAGGGAAGGTAGTGATAATGGAAGTACTTTATCCTTCTTCGTGGCATAGAAAAGGTACACAACAAGGTAGCCTATCTCAATAAAAAAGGTGAAAGAATTTATGGTGATTAGAAGGATGGCATCATCCTTGAAAATTGCATAAAATAGCCAAAGCATAGCACTAAATAGTGCGATCACATAAGGGATAGATTGGAACCCTTCGCTCGTCTTCTTCTTGCAAATTTGATAAAATGTTGGCCTGCGATATCATTCCTTAGTTAATTAGCAACAAAAAGAGAGAAAGGTAACTAAAGTACTTCTAAAGACTAGAGACTAAAAATTAAGACAAGGACTTACAGAGGAGCAAGGCAGACCAAACAAGAGATGATGTTGCCTACATTGGCAGATAAAAAAGAAAACAAAGTGTAAATTAGTTTCTCGAGATGGTAAATAGTTGTTATTACAAAAAAAAAAAAAAATGGAAGTTGTCGCACCTTCCTACAATTTTGGTTTTATATATATGAAAATTTATTTCATACTTCATCAAAACATTTACTGAATTAATAATTGAGAGAAAGCAGAAATGTATGTATGAGTAGTTCTTCATCTAAATGCTCCTTGCATCATCTTTAATTAGGAGGAAATAGAAAACAAGAATTAACGAAGAAGTATAGAAGAGCCAAAAAAAAAAAAAAAAAGAAGGGACTTGTAATTATTCCTACCTAATAAACCAAAAACGAACACCCATGTCAAGTGCAAGGCCATCTCTCCACTGCACAAATTAAGAAAGGCAATTATAAGTCTCTCTCTCTCAACTCTCTCTCCCAACACAAAAAGCAGTGTATCTCAATGGAAGCTCTAGGTATGTTGTATTACTTGGCAATGCTCATGCGCTATTTATATAGAAATTCAAGTCAAGTTGCATGTTGAATTAATGAATTTAGCATATCAATGTAACAGTAGGTATTATTAAAAAAAAAAATCAATATGGTTCCTTTTCCAGTTGGTTCTAATGCTTTTATGTAACATAATCCAAACAGCCTTTCTAGCTCTAATGCCCTATACACCCATATTCGGCTTATGGTTCTTGAAGGTTAACACTCAATCTCCAAGTATCCCCTACTGCTGGTACCATTCATAGTACCCTAAAACTCTTGGGGTCCCACCAGCAGGCTCTTTCTGATGTGTCACCCACCATGTCATCTTATTGGTTACAGCTCATATTCAAGTGCTAGCTAGTGAACTTTACTTGGTCAATGTGTTCCTTAATTTAGTTCATGAAAAAAGAGAAAAAAATGAAATGGAAAAGCCCAATGTGCTGATAGCAAAACTAACCATACTAAACCACGTTAATTTTCAACAATCAAGCAATCGGCTTCCTTTAGAATGGTTTTGATACTATTTGTAACATCATCCACAATATTAAACCACAAACAATCAACAGGGATGAAAAAGAGATTAGAGATGTGAATGAATAATATTTTCAGTAGTATATTATTCAGAGGTTAATTTTCTTTTTATAATGTTACAAGTAATGAATTTGTAGGACTTTAAATATTTACAACTACCTAAATATCTACAAACACTAATAAGAGTTATAATTCATGTCTCTTTACAAAACATTAACCGAAAAGAACAAGTTGTTGTTGTTGAGAAGTCTATTAGGAGAAGACGTGGTGGTTGAGATTGGAGAACAAATCATAGCAAAAAAGGAGACTTGGTTGTAGCAGACTTTTCTGAATCATGTCTTAACACTCCCCCACAAACCGACGATGGGCATTTGCCTAGTGTAAGTTTGTCTCTTACGAAAACTAACCGTATACTAGATAAAGCTTCATAAAAATATTCTCTTTCGATCTAGACTTGAAATAAATTTAACTCGTAAGCTCCCCCGACAACCAAGTTTTAACAAAGTGACAATCAATTTCAATGTACTTTGTTTGTGTATGGAAAATTGGATTACACTACAAAAACAAAAAAAAAAAAAGCTTTTAGCGGAACAATCCGTCGCTAAATACAATAATTCGTCGCTAATGGAAAATAGCAACGGAATAGCGAGAAAAAATTTGGTCGCTAATTTGATGGTCGCTAAATTTTAGTGATGGAATATTATATCCGTCGCTATATTTAGTGACGAAAAATCCGTCACTACCCAATTAATCCGTCGCTAAAATTAACTTTGGATTGCACCCTAATCGTCGCTAATACGTCGCTAATCCATCACTAACTTTGAAAATAAATCCATTGCTAATCCATCACTACGTTTGAAAATAATTCCATCACTAATTTTGAAAATAAGTCCGTCGCTAATTCGTCACTAAATGCCATCACTAAGCCGTCATTAATCTGTCACTAAATTTCATCGCTAATCTATCACTAATCCATCCCTAAATTCCGTCACTAATCCGTAATTAAATTTCATCGCTAATCGAGTCAATAATCCATCGCCGATGTCCATCGCTAATCCGTCACAAATTTCGATAATAAATCCATCACCGATTTACGTAACTATTCTCGTCACATTTTCGAATATTATTAACATAATATTTCATAATTAAAATTAATAATTAACAATCATAACTAATCATGTATATATGAAAAATAAAATAACATTAACAAAATCATTCTAGAATATGTTTCATAAAAATAAAAAAATAAAAAAAACAAGAAAACAAACAAAGTGATCGATTATTATATCACTCATCCTACTTGTCTAATCACATATCCTCATCATCATTCCGTGCGAGTGGTCACACTGGAGGATAGACCGGAGGCCGAACCGGAGGCTAAGTGGATGGACCGAGTAGACTGCCGAGTAATCGATGGATCTATAGACAATCCGGATGTCCGTGCTAGCTGCATTAGGAAGGATGTCATGGAATCGTATTGAGTTTCATGTTACAAATAGCATCCTTAAGCTTGATAACCTCTTCCTTAGTAGCCTCGTAGTCCATCCGAACTCGTTCGCTAGCTGGATCAATCATGTATTGCGACGTTGCGGAGGAGGAGCCGCTCGCCACCCGATCGAGATACATAATGCACTCGATTGTGTGCCTATCCCATAAAATCTTTTCTTGTTTTCCCCGATAGCATGCAAGTATAACAAATTCTGGTCAACTTTTGGCTCTAAGATTCCCGCCTCCCTCCGAGCCTCAACAATTATATTCAATAATTTAAAGGAATGCTTCTCATCATTCCGAATTATTTTAAATAAATATTAAACAATTATATTAGTTATATAATTATCTTCATCTAGTTATTAATTTTGTTTTTGAATTTTACTTCCTATTTAAATAAATATATAAGGAATGCTTAAATTTTCTTAAATAACTACTTAATTGATTAATATTCAATAATTTTTTGTTTCTTTTTTTAAATTTTCATCCTTAAGTTCTATATGTTATAACGTTAACTTAAACTAAACAAAACAAATAACCTCATTTATACTACCTTAGGTAATTTACGAGAATTACATTATCATTTTTTTCTTAAAATACATAAAATTTTATACTTGTTTTATGCTAAAATACGTTAAATTACCAATGAACTAAATAATTTATGAAAACATTCAACTAAAATATTTATTTGACTCTATTAATTATCTATATATTTATATAATTTTAACATTTTTAAAGTAATTTTGTAATTATATTATCATTTTCACCTAAAATATAAAAAAAATTAGATTTTAACAAGTAAAAAAACATTAATTTACATTATCACCTACATAATTTTAAAAAATATTAAAGTAAAATATTTATTTAATTTTATTAATTAATAAATTATTTATAAATTTTTAATCTTTACTTTAATTTTTTAATTATATTTTTTAATTTTTTTCGATACAATCAAATCATTATACATGTGATATTATTTTAATTTTATTAATTAAAGTAATAAAATTTTATAAAAGTTATATTCGAATTTATTAAACTACATTAAAAAGTAATATAATTTCCAAATTATATTTAAACAAACAACTCATCAAATTAAACTATAAAAATTAAAAATAAATCAATCAATCAATTAATCATACTAATCATTTAAGGTTAAAAAATTAATTTTTCATCTAACAATAGAAAATTAAAAAAAAATTATATTTTTAAGATTTACGTTAACATAAAAATTAACAAAACAAGATAATTAGAAAAATAAAACTTAGCAACATAAACTAAAATAACAACTAATTATCAAAATAACAACAAACTAAAACTTAGCAAAATAAATCTAACAGTTATCAAAATAAAATAACAACTAACAAATTAAAACTACTACATATGAATTAACAAAACAAGATAATTAGCAACATTCAAATAATTAATAAAATAATAAACAAAAAAAATTTTAATTAAAATATATAACATTCATCTAACTTAAAAAAAAAAAAGTTTGAGAGAGAAAGTTTTACCCAACGAAATGCAGTTTATATAGCACGGATCCGATACCAATTAACAAAACAAAATAATTAGCAACATTCAAATAATTAATAAACTAATAAACTAAAAAATTTAATTAAAATATGTAACATTCATCTAACTTAAAAAAAAATTGAGAGAAAAAATTTTGCCCGACAAATGAAGTTTATATAGCACGGATCCGATCCGATTTTGAGGACGAAAGATAACCCTTACTTTGTTAAATGTCTGTGGAAAAAAATTTATTTGCGTGAGCCGGCTCGAGTGGCCATTGTTTTGATCGACGTCGGAAAAGGACGTGTAGTGGAAAAGAGGTGTAGTGGAGGTGAGAGAAACAAATGAAGAAGGGAAAAGGAGGGGGTATAAATTACTTCTTTTGTAACAAACATATAGGCATAGAAGCATAATAAAAAATTAGAGATTCATTAACACGGACATTCAAAGCTTGACCCTAACATGACATGTCCCCATCGAAGTCATCATTCCGTTGATGGGAGCCCGTAGAGAAAGGCATAGGAATATGGACTTGCCACCAAGCTAATCAATGAGAACTAAGAAATCCTAAATAAACTAGTCTACATAGATATCTAGATAAGAGGTTCGTTATATATGGAAAAGATATAACATCACTATCATCCCATCTTACCTAAGGTAGGCTACATTGTTTACATGTGGAAATAAAAATTTGGCTTTACTATGTTATGTTTATATGCCTATTTAAGCACATTTATTAAGTTGAGAAGGAACAATAGAGTAATTTAAGGTTTAGGTTGATCTAAGGCTAATACCCATACTCAAAAGGGAAAGGTATGGCAGATTGGAATTTTGACTAATCTTTAGTGAACACAATTTACCAATAAGTGATTTTCTAAAGATTGATAGCCTTTATTGACATGAACATAATTCACTAACAACTTCATTCATACAAGTGAGAAGCCACCGATGATTTTAATTCATGAATTTAGGAAATCATTGATAACTTCATCACATAAGTGAAAATCCATTAACAACTTTATTTTGCTCGAATAAAGAGCTGATAATTAGTTTGGGATGCCACTAGCAACTTCATCATATAAGTGAGAAGCCATCGATAGCTTCATTTCAAATGAATAGAAAGCAAGTAAATTGATTTAGAAGCAACTAGCGCCTTCATCCATACGGATGCGAAGCCACTAGCGACTTTGTTTCGAGCGGACGAGAGGGCAAGTAAATTGACTTCAATACTATTAGAGGCTTTGTCTCATAATTGGAAAGCCATCAATAAATTCATTTCAAATGAAAAAAAAAACAATTAAATTGATTTATAAGCTACTAGCGACTTCGTCCACATGGGTGGAAAGCCAATGGTAACTTTATTTCAAGCAAATAGAAAATAGGTAAAATGACTTCAAAACTATTGATAACTTCATCACATAAGTATGAAGCCATCGGTAGGTTTGTTTTAAATGAATAAAAAGCAAGTAAATTAATTTGAAACCCACTAGTAGCTTCGTCCACGTAGGTGGAAGGCCACTCGGTAACTTTATTTCAAGCAAATAGAAAATTGGTAAAATGACTTCAAAACTACTAGTAACTTCATCACATAAGTGGGAAGCCATCGGTAGCTTTGTTTCAAATGAATAAAATGCAAGTAAATTGATTTAGAAGTTAATGAAGGCTTCATCCACATAAGTGGAAAGCCATCAACAACTTCATTTTAAATAGACCGAGTAAAATGACTTCAAAACCACCGACGACACATCACATAATTGGAAAGCCATCGACAACTTCATTTCAAATGAATAAAAAGTAAGAAAATTGATTTGGAAGCCACTATGACCTCACCCACACATATAGAAAGCTATTGATAGTTTCATTATAGGTAGATAAAAAACATGTAAAATGACTTCAAAACCACTAATGACTTCTTCATATAAGCGAGGAAGAAACCAATAACTTCATCTATGTAGGTAAGAGGCCACCAGCGAGCTTTATTTCATCAAGCAAAAGAATTAAGTAATCTTACATTGGTCATGAATATTGCATAATTGACACATCGGTTACATTACTAACACATCATTTAATATAAACACATATATCATCCGATACATCATTAAAATTAAATCTCAATCCTAATCCTTCTAGCTCTATTGTAGAGATCACCAACCTTATTTCACCTCAAAATACCGAGTCTCCAACTCTTTTAAATTTGATACACAATAGTGTATCTAATCACACTTAAAATTTCAAGCACAACTAACATGTCTTCCTTTTTTTATTTTTATGTTCATTACAACATGTCATTCCCATCATTTCAATCAAAAAATTTAATGGGAACAAATATTATCATAAGTTATCCCAAATAACGATTGAAAATGGTGAATTTTTTTTAGTATTATTTGGTATTAGTTCTACTTTCTTCGATCCCGATCCAAAGCGATTATTCGGTTATCTAGAAAGAAAAGTAACTACTAGTTGAACCATTAAAGATGTTATCATAAAATTACTAAAATGCCTCATATTGGATATGGAATGACCAAAATACATTTAGATGTGAAATGATCAAAATGCCTTTAGAGGTAAAAATTATGAAACTATCACAATAACCTAGTAGCAAATGTTGCTTGCATTAACCATCATCCGATGGTCCTTTAAGCACGTGGACCATCCCGTATGTTGAAGGAGGTTTTATGTTATCATTCTAGAGTGGTGTTAGTCATTGCCATTAGTGAAGGAGGAAGATCAATGACTTAGAAGTTTTGGCCAAATCTCCCTCTCTTATTGATGAACATTTTAGTAAGATTAAAGGGCTTTGAGGACACCAATTGACTCATTGAATCTGTGAAGAGTGTTTTTATTGTGGTTAAAAGGTCTAATGTAGCCTTATTTAACCGATTTATCTAGGTTGTAATAAACGATGTACCATTGATTCAGTCATTTTTTTGATGAAGTTAGGCCATGATTTTTGGTAGAACACCTTTTAAGAGGTGGGGAATACTTCTATGATGGTGCCTATCTACGTCGGCCTCAATAAAGAGGGTCGAAAATGGAGTCATCACCTAGTAATTGGGGAGAACTAGGAAACTTTAAACATATTTGTCTACATAGATATCTATTTAAGGGGTCGATGACATATGGGAAAGATATAATATCACTATCATCTCATTCTACTTAAGGTACGTTGTATTGTTTGCCTACAAATATGAAAATCTATTTTTTCCTATGTTATGCTTCTAAACCTATTTAAATGAGTTTATTTTATAAAAATATATAACATGATAGATTGGATGTAAAATAAGGCGAGTTTGGAAGCTCGAGCCGATCTAAGGCCAATACTTCCTACCCAAAGAGGAATGGTGGGAGAAGTTGCAATTTTGACCGATCATTAGTGAACACAACCTATTATCGATAAATAGATGAGTTTCTAAATATGGATAACTTTTTTATTAGTGTGAGCAACAAGTCACTAGTGACTTCACTCACACAAGTTGGAAGCCACCAACGACTTTGAGTCATGATTTTAGAAAACAATAACTTTATCATACAAGTAGGAAGGTACCAAACTACTTTATTTAGCTCAAGCAAGGAGCAAATAACTATTTTGAAAGCCACTAGTGGTTTCATCACATAAGTGGGAAGCCGGTGATGGCTTCATTTCAAACAAGCGAGATATTAAATAAAAATTATTTTGAAGCTACTAATAGCTTAGTCACATAATTGAAAAGCCACTAGCTTTTTCATTTTGATGAAATAAGAAATAGGAAAAAAATAAAAAAAGGAAACAAAAAATGTAAAACAAGTATAAAAAATAGACAAAATGATTCCAAAATCATCAACGACTTGTTTACATAAGTGGGAAGCCACTAGTGGCCTCATTTCATCATTGCAACCAACCATAATTCAAAATTAAGAAAAAAAATGGGAAACATGAATAAAAAATAGAAAACAAACAAGATGATTTCAAAACCACCTACAACTTCGTCATATAAGTGGGAAGCCATTGGTAGTTTATTTTTATCATTACAACTAGCCATAAAAAATCAATCGAACTACAAAAATTGGCACAAACTTCACACTTAAGTATACGGGGATAAAACAGGAAAACAAGATAGTTTGTCTTAAAATTGGCATTATAGGAATATCTCGCTTCAACTATATTCAAACCATGACTATTTAAGTGCCATGCAACAATTTAAATCACATAATTGAACATATTCGAGTCAATCATCCATAAAAAGAAGACAAACTTCACATTTAGACTTGCAGGAATAAAAAAATAAAACATTGTAGTTTGTCCTTTAATATCCATTGCAACAATGCTTGTTTTAACTACATTTAAACTAAATATATTTAAAAAAAATACAATAATTTCATTCACATTTTCAAATAACCTAGTCACTTTTAACCATTATTTTTAAAAAGCATAATGGATTTGGAATTTTTACCCAAAGGTTCTCGTAGCTCCAATGTCTAACTTGAAGTCGGTTCTACTCTCTCTGTTCCTAATAATAGCTGACTATTTAGTTAACTAAGAAAGGAAAGTGATCGCTTGTTGACAAAATGTGTTATGGGTCCCCTAAGGTCACTATTACTTGTGAAATGATGTTGTGCAAAGTTACTAAAACTTTGTAATGTTTTAAGACTTTTGTTGCTATATTTTTTTATCAAAAGCAACAAACAAACTAACAACAAATATTGTTCTCTTTGTTTCATTTTTCTTCTTTTTTTTAAAAGGGACTGGTTGATCGTTATAGGACCAAAAGGGGAGGGGAAAAAGGTCGCTTGTTGCTGACTCAAGGTGACCTAGCATGCTAAAAGGCTGATTGGTTGTGAGGGGTCGTGGAAGACATTAGCATGCAAGGAGGAGCAACCTATTACATGGTACTAGAAGCTCGGCATAAGGGTGGTGTCCGGGCAAGTGAGTAGGCTTGTGGTAAGCTTATCGGTGTGTTGGCTTATGGAGTGTAAAAGGAAGGGGCGAGCTGGAGTTAGGTTGTACTATATGCATGACGAGGAGATACTGGGCAAGCGGGAGGGTGAACCTATACAACCTAAAGAGCTAGGTTGTGCTACATGTGAGAAGCGAGATCTTAGGCACTTGGGCAATTGGTTGGAACAAAGAGAGAGGTCGCTATGAGGTGTGAAGCTACGTTGGTCGTAACAATTATAGGTGAGGTTAAGGCAAGGTCGAAGGTGGGTGGGTCGGCATGAGCTTGTGAGGAGACGAGGTGATGGAGGGGGCTGTGATATGGGCATGGCTATTACAAGAGAAAAGAAGCTAGAGCTTGGGTGTTGTGAGAGAGAAAGAGCTGGATGCCGCGAGGAAGAGTTACATACAAAGAAAAATTAGCAAAAGGGTCGATGCGTGCGAGGAAAAACTTGGCGACAAGCTTTCAAGCTAGTTTATAAGCGAGTGTTAGTGAAGGGGTGTGGGAGAGGAAAGTGGAGATGAAGGCTTTTGGTTGATGATGGATATAGGGGATGAAGATGAGTGCTTGTAGGGTGGTTATGGTGGTTTTTTTCAAGAAATAGAAGGAAGGAAAGTAGTTTTCATGGAGGAAAGTTTCGGATGAAAGAGAGAGAGGAACAGTGTTGGTTAGATGAAGGTGGTGAGTGAATAGTGAAATATACCAAAAAGTCCAAAGTTTGTTTTGGATGCAAAGTTTATTAGTATTTTTTAGGTTTTTTGACAAAGTTTGTTTCGGTCTTTGGTTCTTAGCAACCCATCAATTTGAGTTTAATTTTGAATTTTTTGCTTTGATAGGGCTCCTAAATCTTAATTAATTGAGACTTTTCTTCTTTATTTCTTTCAATTGTGCCCCCTCATTATTTTAATTAAAGGACATAAGTTTTGATTTTTTTTAATCGGGCCCTCAATTGATCTTTTTATTACTTCCAAACTTTCCATTTCTTCAATTTGCCCTCTCCCTCTCTTCCTCTTTTTTTTTTTTAGAATTAACCTAAACTAATTATTGCAATTGACTTTTTTCTTTTTTTTTCTTTTTACTTAGCATTTTGTTTTGCTTGCCATTTTTTCACTCTTTTTTTCCCATGTCATTTTCATTTTTTTCTTTTCATTTAAATTTTTTCTTTTTTCTTTTTTTATTTTCCAATAAAAATAAAAATAGAAGTAAAAGTAACAAGGATAAAAATTTGGGTGATAATAGTGGAAACTGGTGGTTTGACCACAATTGAGAGATTTGGCTGGTTTGTTAAATGGGTCGAGCCGTCGACCTTCTCTCCTCAATTTTGAATAGGCTTCACATCTTCTCCTTCTCCAACTAATTGAAAATGGTGGATATAGGTATAATCCATTGATTTGTAGTGGTGGTTGGAGGAGATATCGGCTAGAGGGTGGTCGATTTAAAAAGAGAAGTGTCGGTGGGTATATGGGTCAACTCACGAGTCGACAGGTATGATCCTTTTTTTAGGAGGTCATTTAGCAAATTTTTAGGTTTTTTAGGGTTTTCCTTTTTTGGGATTCGTGTCCTCTTAAATGGCTGGAAGGGTTGGGCATTTATAGAGAAAAATTAGGGTTTTAGGTAAACATTAATTTTGGTATGTGGTTTCTCCAAATTTTAAATTTCGGTATTGATTTGTATGATTTTTTCCTCACTAGTACCCTTTTTTTTTGCTTTATTTTGAATTAAGGATTTAGGGCTTTGGAATTTTTAATTTCATCCTCAATTAGGTTTTTTTTTTTATTCCTACACTTCTTATTTTATTTTTAATTGAACCCAAAAATCATTTTTCCTAAGTAAATCTCTTTTTTTTTCTTTTTTTAACTCACAAATTTAAAAATAGATGAATAAAAATTAGGGTGCTAAAACTAGTTATTATTCTCAATTGAGAAAAAATTTAGCTAATCTTGACGCTTTTAAAGATAATCTGGTCTTTGTAGTAGGTGATTTTTTTCTTGGCGAGTCATTGAAACTTCGGTAGGTTTTTTTTTTTTTCTACATCTTGTGCTTTTTTGAAAATAATAGATTGGAAAGGATGAGAGGTGTGTCTAGGTTACTCTTAGTGGTGAAGGAGCAAACCCTAATGTAGATGTTGTTATTCCCTCTAAGTGTACACAAGGGTCCATATCCACAAATGATAGGATGGGGTTATCTTTTCTTTGTGAAGGGAGGTCCTAGTAGAGTTTTTAGGAGAAGAATAGTTATATTTTCCCATTACTTGGGATGGGCTTACCTTGCAGCTATCCCTAACCAAAATGATAAAATGGAGAGACCTACTTCCGGAGGTATGGAAGAGAATATTGAGAAAATTATTTCCACTTGTATAATCAAATACAATTATATATTCTCTCTATCTAAGTTTATGGAAAAGGTTTTTCAATATTTTAGCATAAATATTTGCTAACTTCTTTCAAATAGGTGAGCCATTCTTACTATTTTTTATAATTTTTGTTAGTAGTTCGGTGTCACCCCATCTTTAAGGCTCATTTTGTACTCTTTCTTTTTTTTTCTTTTCTTTTCTTTTTTTTTTTTTTTTTGAAAAAAGATACTGAAGAGGAAGATAAGAGGTTTTGTGTATATACCTTTCTTAGTAGGGAGACATGTCCTTTGAACAGACATCTTTATAAAGACTCGTAATATGGTTAGCGATTATAAGAAGTAACGGTTTATATTTAGGTATAAGGAGTTTACGTCCTTAAATAAAGGTCGGTTGATTTCAAGATTCATTCTTATTTGAAGCAAAGGCCTAAGGATAATTGTAATGCCATCCCACCCAATTTAAGATGGATTTGGCTCTTTGGGAAAGGGCGAGAAATAAGTGTGGCATGTATCAAATCAATCTTTTTCTATAGGGATTATCATTATGTCATATCATACATGGTGGCTATGTTAAATTTAGGCCTTTTTTTTTCTTTCAAATTCAGTTGTTGATATATATATACACACACACACACACACACACACACACACATATATATATATATATATATATACACACACACACACACACACACATATATATATATATATACATTTTTTTTTTTTTTTTTTTGCCGAGTTGGTGAGGTGTTTGAAAGAGAATATCAATCGAGCAAATCGAAGACAAAGTAGGCATAGTCAAGTAAGTGGGTGATCCTAGTGAGAAATACTCGGTGGTGTTAGGTTGCCTCGTCCTCTTTTAAGACCTACAACATAAGAAGGACAAGGCTTGATAGGGCTTAAGCTCATATGAATAAGTAAAGAACTATTTCCTTTTCTTCTAGGTTAGGCACTTCCTCGGTGTAAGGTTCGGGGTCTTTATTTTTCCTTTAACTCATAGCTCAAGTGACTTCTCCATCGGTAAAGGTGGATGCTTGTTTTTTAGTAGTTGTCCGAGCATCCTACTATAGAGGATTCCTTTCTATCTAGAAGGGGTGGTTCAAATTCAAGGTACGTTGTTAAGGAAGTTGTTATAAGTCGGTTTGTTGTTTTGAGATGTCTACTCTTACTTCTTCATCAAAGGAATTTCATATTAGAAGGAACCCATTTAAGAATTGTTATTCCTTATAAGGTAGGTAGGGAATGAGAGGAGGCTATTTGTCTCGCTATAATAGGTTTCTCTGGTTTTTAGAGAGTTGTTGAATTTTAAGGGTCGTTAGTTGGCTAACAACATAAATAGGGAAATGAAACTGACTCTAGCTATAATTACTTTTCCTTTTTTTTTCCTTGAATTTTACCCTTATAGTGTTGACATGGCAATTCCTGTAAGCCTTCTAATTGCAAGTTTATGGACTTTATTATCGGGAAGTCTAAGAGAAGGAGATATTTATAACTCCTTATAAGATGGGAGAGATGAGGGCCAAGCTAGCTATTATAACCCAAGAAAGGGACATTATTTATGTAACACCCTCGGCCTAAAAAAGGCTAAGAATGCTATCAATAGCCTCACACCTATAGGATGAAAGAATAATCCCATGTTCTCTAACTCGTATGATGCACAATGGAATTATTTAGATTTAAAGTTTAAGGTTGCCTTTAGTTTAGCATGTTATAAACCATCAATTTTCACAATAAATAAAACAATTTCATTAGCCTTTCAAACTTGTTTATCCATTAACATATCCAAATGTAACATGAGTTTATCATTGTTTAGCCTTTAAACTCTAAACCTATCTATATATATATATATATATATATATATATATATATATATAGTACATACTTTGGAAAACTCGACTCGCTCTTGATAGCATCCTCAATGTCACACATGGCTTCATGCATGATTAGCTTACCTATACACCACAAGAAAAGCTGTGAGTTAATGCTTAATAAGTGTAATCATGCATGAATATAGGGAAATACATCTTTTTTTTTTTTTGTTAAAATATATTTTCTATGATTCGGGTGCATCATATTAAATGTTTATATATTTAACCCTCATAAAAAATCATTATTTATGAAAAACCATAAAAGCACTAGACATGTCTAATCTTTTTTTCCTACAAAGAGTATATTTGTATGGGATAATAATCAAACTTTGTTTTTAGGTTCACATATGTATAAGACATTTAATCAAGCTATATTTTTAGGTCCGCTAAGTTTGAATGACTTACTAAACTCTTTACCTTACTTTGTCACTTAGTTCACTTAAGTCCTCAATCTTTTAATTGTCACACTTAAGCTCCCTAAGCACCACAAACTCACAACATTTAACAACATGAACTTGCATAACCAAGAATTCATCAATATAAGAAAAAATCATAGTAGGCACATATTTAGCAAGTAAACACATAAATGTATAGGAACGTTTGAGGTCTTAGGTATTACTATTTATAAGAAAGAAAATTTTTTGGAGAAAATTAGAAACCATCCTAATATGCTCTGCTATAATTTTTAAAGAACTATTGGGCTTTTCTAAGCCTATGTTGAATAACTATTGAAGATCATGAAAGATGCATATTTCTTCGATAATATCCTCATAGAACGAGTTATTGCTAGAGTGGGATGATATATTCTTTGTGATTGTCATAACTCAAAATTTAGGTTATATTCATTTTTTATATTTATTTATTTATTTATTTTTATTTTCACTTACTTTATATTTTGTTTTGTTTTTAGCTCACCTTTCGCTACAATCTAAAATCAATCTCCATCTCCTAGTATTGTTCATCGTCTTCAACCAAAAAAGATAAGTTCATTCATAACCAAAATTCCTACCGCCATTTGTACCAACCGGGAATCACGCTTCACAACGAGTCATTTACACCACCGCACCTACCCACAAACAAAACGCTGCACACACATTACATATTTGCCAAAAATTTTATTTTGCTCACAAATTGTAAAAAGCCTCTTATCGAGTTTTGATTTTAGCAAGCAAGGGAGTGGATTGTTTGAGAACGATCCTAGGGTTGAAATGTAGTGCAATAAGGCTATAAATTAAGCCCCATTGTATGCTAAGAAGAAGGACGAGAGAAAGAGAGATAGTAAGAGAGAAAATAAAGTGATATAAAGAGGATTTTGGGATTTTTAGGAGAATTTTTCTGGTAAGCATTATGGGT